CATCGGCCAATTCATCCATGTTAGCAGAAAATGACTACATACTGTTTTCCTGAACCATCGGTCATGTGTTCACATACTCTGATTAAAATGAATGGCTGATTGAAATTTCTGCTTAAGGACAGCTGGGTGGAACAGTTATCAAATGCAGCATAGCTCTTCAGATGGGTGACACATGCAGTATATGCTGGCTTCCTGTGGTTAATCTACTGACAGCACAGTCCTGACAGGTTTGTCATAACAGTGTTTCTCCCTCACAGTTGAAGAGTGTACTAGTTTGCGTTTCTGTGGATGATGAATAACTGCCACGCAAAGTCTATCCAGACTAGAAGAACTGTATCTGTGAGGGTGTGATTATTTTTCCAAGTCTATTTCTGGAAAGATTAGAAGTATGTTTCCATCTGTGTCTATTTAGGCTTCTCCTCAGAGAGACGACATCAACACACTAGTACAGTAGAGCTGTCTGGCAGACTGAAATTTCAAAGACAGGCTCTAAATCATTTCTGAGCTGCTGTTTGAATTCTACTTTTGTATTAGCATCTTCATTTTTCCAGTACTTAAAAGTGTCTTTTATTCAGCTTTGCATTCTAAGCCAAATGAAGTCCCTCACTTGCATGAGAGTGACAGCCAAAACTTGCTATATAATGGAAGGAAAGAAAGCTGTTGTATATTCTCGACAGCAGTCTGGTACGGAAGCTTCAATGAAAGAGAGGCAAAAAGGTCAGGCTCATTAAATGTCAGCAAAGAGCATCTTAATAATTGAATCACTCAGACAAAAGGAGCCCATAATTTAACTCTAAGAATCCATGTGCAGCTACACGATGAGTTATAGTCACTAGAAAAAGATATAACTTTACGTGTGACTGAAAGTACAAAAAAGACTTTAAATCAAATACATTTGCATAAGACACACTGCTCACCAATGAGCACATTTATTTTTGGTAGCTGTCCAGTTTTGTTTGCTTCACTGCCTTTCAAACCTCTATTAAGAGTTTTCACCTTCCAACAGATGTGTCTGGGCAAAAAACCCTCTCTGCCAATTATTTGACGTGACTGAGATTGTTTCTTGCTTAGCCTTTATTAAGTATGAGGATATAAAAGCACTGATCACACAATACACAAAAGGAGTCCAATTAGAAATGCATGAGGGCTTTTTGAGAGGTGATGGTCCTGAGGGAAAGCTGAAATCCACAGATAAGGCCGAGCTCAACATAAGCATCATAAAGAGTTTTCTAAATTTATGTTTTTTTTGTCTGAAAAGTATTATGCAAAAAAAGTCCTTATTTTTAGTATAAACGTTTACTTTTGTTCTTAATGTGGGAAAATAAGATCCCATTTCTCCATGGTATGAGTAAGCCAAGCCTTACTAAGCAAATTGTTCCTGAATTTGAGAAATGTAATCTTTAGTCGCTCTCAAAAAGCCGTTGCAAATCTTGTACGGAGTAGAATATTATTATTTTTATTTATCTCTACACTTTGTAACACAGAAACAATGACAATGACAGAAATGAACATTTCCTTCAAGACCATTTCTGGTCATTCACTGTAAATGCGTAGTAGGCTATATGAAGACTATTGTGTGTGATAATTTTCAAGAAGCGTCACAGAAATAACAGCATTTGTGACAGATTAGGTTTCTCATACTGTTGTTTCATCACAGTCTATTAGCATCAACAAGCAAAAATGACGGCTCCACATTCCAGACTGCAATTCACTGCTGGAAAAGAGAGTATGAGGAAAATAGTTTTGGTTTCATGTACTGAGTCATGAATGCACAGTGTAGTGGTAACAAATGAAGTGTGTCTTATGTGCCATCTCTTGGTGAAATTGAGTTCTTAAACCAATGTAAAACTGCTATTTTATTGTCCAGAAATGTATAATGTGTAATGGGCACCTTTCATCATTTGTCAGCTATCTGTGTCAAAATGCACCCAGAAATCTCCACTAGAAGACACGGTTGTGTTTTAGATCCATCAATATATCTTGAAAGCTACAAACTTTATTGCCCACATCATTTTTCTGTGAGAGCTTGTGACCACCTGTCAGAGAACATCACACTCGAGACCAAACAGGATACTTTATTGTTCTGTGTACATCCGCAAAACAAGCACAACCCGAGACAGTTTGTTATCAACGGCTTAGTGTAAGAGGCTAAAAATCCATCTCCCTGTGTACCTGTGTGAGTGAGTTTGTGTGAGTGGGAAGAATGAAAGCGGTACCAGCATACTGTAAAATCAGCAACACAGAGTGAACCTTAGCCAGAAGCGCTGGAGTGGAGTCAGGCGAGTGAGAGTTGGGCTTTATAATGTAAGAAAGACTGAGATATGTGCACAGCTCCACAGGGAAAATCAACAAAGATGCTCTGGGTTCTCCTTTTTTCTTTACTGTACAGTACTAGCGCCAATGCCCCAGGGATGGAAACAAACATGGTTAGCAATAAAATTTGTTGTGCAAATTTAGTAGCCGTTTGTGTGAAAGAATGCAAATGTTAAAATGCTTATATGGCCTTCTCTGTTTGATCTTTGCGACTGCTAAAACTGCTTATGATAGAAAGTTTAAATAGTTAAGGCAATGTAGAATAAAACGGCAAATACTCAATGCAAGCGATCAAGAAGCTGAAATACTAATCCAAAAAAGATGTGTAAAAATCAATCACAGAGACAAGAAAACAGAATCATCAGTTAGGTAGACTAGCTATTCTATTTGTTTCATTTTTCTTTACCTTTTCAATAAACAGAGTTACATTGCACCAATTAAAGCAACATTTCTTGTCCCAGTTATAAATACTACACAGCCATTAATCTAGCAAACACAGATTTCCAAGAGCAGGGATGCCCAGTTCCTGTTTGACCAAGTCTTTGACATGAAATCTTGAAACTGAACCAACCATACTGATTCATCAACCGTCATTTAACTATTCAGTCACCTTTACAAGTGGAGCTACCTTCATTGGGGACAATGTCAGCTCAGCAGTAATAGTTGAGTCTTGTTTAGACAAACAGCTCAAATCAGAATTTAAGCATGTATAGATTGTACACAGATTGTTGTTTTTTGTGCAAAACTTATCAAAGTCACATTTGGAGCTGGTTTGTACTGCAATTCCATTTCAATTTCTACAACTGCAGTCTGAGTGCTTGGGTAGCTTGGATGAGATTTCAGATTATCTTTTTGTGTTGTGTCTTTTGTCTGACAAAAAAGAACAACAATAGAAATTTATCAGAGCCACTGCAGCAGACCAGGCTCTGTTGAACAGTTTGAAAACGTAATTGTTGTGTCATCAGCGTATAAAATTACTGATGCTGAATTCATTACCAAAGCTACCACTGAAGAGGGTCTTATGATGCCTATACACACAAACACACTCTAAACACTTGCAAATAATAGTCAGAACAGTCAACAAAGCCTGATGAAAGCCTTTAAGAGTACATGCAAGGTTATAGCCTAAATGCCATCATCTAATTTCCTTATGATGGACACCTCATCCTGCAGAAACTCGTATGGACAATGTCAATGTGTTGGAAGATTGCATCTTTTCTTGTACCAACATTTAAAATTGCTTTCCTTCAAACATCGACGGATGACAAATAACCACAAGGATCATATGTGTTTCGTGTTTGTTTTTAGATACACTAATTATGCATGTTCTCTTGCTGCAGGAAGCTAAAACAGTCACCTGACAAACAGGAGGTGTTCCCGATACAACCTTCAGCTTTGCAAGGTGTATTGTTTGCCTCTAGCAGAGTTGTTCATTTTATGGGTTGTCTTACAGTATTAATAGGGCAAACAAAACATTACATTATTCCTAAATCGATTCATACATTCATCTAAATTCAGCCATTGAAGGGCAGATGCTGTCAATTCAGAACTCTGAGGAATTAGTGGCTTGCTGGTTTCCATCTCAAGACTAGTAGTTATTGACAAATCATGAGTGAACAAGGACACTCAAAATGATGGTGTGCCAAAAAGCTATCTGATGTAATCTATAATTGTAATTTGCTGGTAAGCCCTTCGACTCCTCTTTCTAAAATACACAACAAAGTAGTCAATATATCCCAACATTAAAGCTCAATTTCAACACTATTATGACTTAAGGTCTCTCAGGATCAGCTCAGCTTTGCTTTTGAAGTTCCAAAAATATCCTCCACAAATTCCTCGATCCTGCAGCCCCTGACAGTGCAGTTTATTCTACTCCAAAAACAGCTAAGAAGCTGGAAGACTGGTGGATCAGTGACTGGCTACACACACACACACTCATGAGAACACAGCGCATCAGCAAAGTTGTGCCTTGAAGGGGATTGAACCCACCATCAGTACTGCAGAGTTTAGGATCATGACAGATCATGAACTGTTAACAATTGTATCAAAAGCATGGGGTGCAATCAGCTGTGCTACAGCAGGGGTCGGTGGGAAAGCAAATCTTTTATGAACAAGGGTTTCCAGGCTTTAGGCTGTTTTTCTTGCCTCCCTATGTTTCCTTCTTTCTTTCTCCTTTTACTTTCACTCTTGCCTGTTGGTTATTCCTGTCAGTGGCTGTCTGAGCCTCACTAGAGCTTGTATCAACTCCTTCCTCTCCCCGGTGTGACATTCATAGCATTACAATTGAGCCATCAATCTGTCAAGCTTTACCCCTGCTAAACCATGAGCAGTGGGAAGCACAGGAGAGGGACAAGTCTACCTCAGCACACAGTATGCTTTGTTTCTCTGTAGGTATGGGGCCTAACAAGCCCAATAAGTCTCAGACATGATGGGAAATGGATAAGCTTTTAGTTGCCAGCATAGATACGCTGTTGCATTTATTTTTCATCCTCATTTCCCCATCTACCGCTGGGTTATTTTTGCAGATGACTAAATTGGTGATAGTTGTTGGATTCTCATTATTTTTTCCCCACTGCTACCTCTCATACATAAACACACTCTTCCTCTGCCGTTTTCCATAAAACCTTCTCTCTTCTCTTTTCCCTTCTATTCTCTCCCCCCCCCTCCCTCTCCCTGGGTAATGTCAGACCGAGCTCCTGTAAGGAGGAGATAAAGCCCCCCGGCAGGGCAGGACCACAGCTGTCGCCGTCTGACTTCCTGGACAAGCTCATGGGAAAAACATCCGGATATGATGCCCGCATCAGACCCAACTTCAAAGGTATAGTTTGTGTCAAAGCAGACCATCACAGTAGCCCTCAAGAAAGTCCAGCTGCAAACACAAGCACTATGAAAGAAAAACAGCAAATCTATGCTGTGAAAGCTAAATAGCTGACTTTTCCCATGTGTATTTACTGAATGATATTCTTTCAAAGACCATGTATGGTCTATTTCTACAACTTCTTAGAGGTTTATTTTATTCCATTTCTCAGGGATATTTATTGAAGTTAACAACAGCAAAAAGTGCTTCAGTGTGTTTATATCACCGGCTTGCAGCTCCCCTCCAAATTTGAAACAAGAACATCCTGGTGAACAAAAGACAGATCCAGTGGAAAACTAAAAGTTGACAAGCTGCCATTATTGCGGTGGCGTCTCCCTTCAACGGCTTCTGGTTTAGGCAAGCTGTCTTGTGGCTAAGTTTCTCTTTATTTCTCCATTATGTAATCAGGAAGTTGTTGAAAAAGATGTCTGATATGTAAACTCTAAATAATGTTTAGGTCACCAGATTAAGGTAACTTCATTAGCAGCGGTCTGTTATCCAACTACAGTATGAATGCTGCCGTCACTGTAAGCAGGCAGCAGCAGACGCTGAGATGCCACCGCAGTAATGGCGGCCAACACAAGATAGCAGCGCCCACAAACCGGCCGTAGGGATTCGTCTATAGCCAGGTAGAAGAAACAGAGACACTTGCGACTGCTAGCCTCTTGAATCACAAAGAAATGTTCTTTTCAACAAGCAATTCTGTTCCTCTGCTCTTTTCTAATGACAGGAGCAGGAGCTGATCTTTCACATCATCCTTGTCAGTCTGTCTGTGTGTGTGTGTGGGGGGGGGGGGGCAGACAGCCAAAATTTGGCAGACAAATATGTAATTTGAAAGACACCATTGGAACCGCAGGACTACCGTGTCTATTATGACTGGTAGCAGTTAATACTTTCTTGAATATTCAAGAAACAAGAAAGCATTTAATAGAATGGGATTTCTTTTTTTAATCAATGAATGAAGTGATTGGTGCAATACATAACATTTTTTATGTATCTAGGTTATTGTTCTCTAAAATATGATTAAGAATGTCTACAAAATGATTACATTTTCCAGCAAGATACAACATATGTTACAAAAAATATACATTAGAAACACAATTTTAAGTATCACCAATCAGCTTCCCCCTCATGGTTTAGCTTAATTTGTGATTTATTATGTGTGCTATGTTGTAGTCTGCTGTTTCTGATGATGATTTTAGTTTATGTTAAGTCTTTGAGCACTTTTATTATCCCTCTATAATGAATTGGTATTTTAATAATTTACATGATAAGAATAAGTTATTTTTCTTCAGAAGACAGTGGGATCTCAATCCCATAAAAGGGGAATACTGTGTCAAGAAAGCTGTTTTTCTTCCCACAGGCCCACCTGTGAATGTCACCTGTAATATTTTCATCAACTCCTTTGGGTCTATCACAGAAACTACAATGGTAAGGAGTCTTTAAGGTTTCAAATATTGTACAGACGATATGCTAAAGAGGCTAAGCTTAAAACATGGTGTGAACAAACCTCACTTTGGTTGTATCTCTGCTGGATTTACAAAGCTAAAACTCTCGTTACACTCCATCGTCTTTCTTCCTTACCACCTTCTTTGCTTAGCTGAGCCCTCATTTCTGTGTTTCCTGGAGCATAGCAGTGCAACCTTCAGAGACCAACGGGTCACTGACATGCTGATAATGAACTGTCCACTCTGCAATTAAAATGAAAAATTGAGAAAGTGAATAAAAAAGGGTATGGAAGAGAGGACTAGACGTTCAGGGGAATAAAAACGGCTGTCCTCAGGTCTGCATTTACCGTGCTATACCTGCTGGGTCAGCACGATACAGAAGTGCACTTTTTAAGGGTGTTTGTGGGAAGGCCCAGAGGATCAGACTTCCAGTTGGAGCAAAAACAATTTTGATGTAATGGTTTGCAAGAAAGGAGCACGCTTTCTATTCCAATAAATGAAATGAAGATGCATTATTAATGGAAAGATCTACAATGCCCAAAGATGAATTCTGAATTAATTGCACAGATTAAACTTCTTATTTAATTACTCATTTGTGCTAGCTGCAGCAGAAGTGATTGTGTCAGTCGCTGTCCTTGTTCTGGCTTGTGCTGCCTTGCCTCTGTTTACCATCAGCATATAACTGAAGCATTTTGAACAATTGGTACGCAATCTTAGTCAATCAGTCAGAGCTGACGAATGAGGTGAAGAAGGTTCATTCCAACAATAGTGATGCATTTTTACCAGATATACCAAGGAAACAGAACAGATCATCTGTGCATTTTGTATCTGCATATTTTCCACTTTAATCTGAGAAAAGGAAATTCTAAAGTCTGCTAAAGACGTTTTGTTTTTGGTGCATTAAGTCTTAATGTAAGAAGGATTACCGTAAGACTGCAGGCTGATTTCCGTTAAATTTGCTCGCAGAGTGATGCAATAACCAGAGAAGAACCCAATACAATTTGGAGCAGACGAGGATCTGACTCATGAATAAGCAATGAACAAGCAATCAAACAATCTCAATTTCAGATAGAAACAAGAATAAGCTGTATCAACAGGTCCAACTCACAAACAAGCAATAATACCAACAAATACCTATTTGAAATCTCATTATTTTGAGGGAAAAATGTATATATACATCCAGACTGATGATGGTTGCATTGGTAGATGTGAATAGCAAAAAATTGTGTTGACTTTGGGCTATAAGCCTTGGTGGAGGTCAACCATTTGGCTTTTTTCTAATTCTCCAGGACTAATTTGTTGACTGAGCAAAGTGATCAAACTAAGTGAATTTATTTGCTTGTCAACAGTAGAAAGAAGCAAATTGAACTAATGCACATTACAGTATATCTAATTGTCACTTGGTTAATATCATTGCATCTGAAACAAAGATTTAATTTCTAAAATGTGTAGATTGAGACTTTAATCAAGAATTTCAATTTTAGAGAGAGCTTCATCTTTCATTAAAGCACTGCTCTGTTATCTTTAAGTCATTATTAACTCTAAAGGAGTCAAGTCAGAAACTTTTTACATCACTGCAGAATGATCTGTCTGAACTTTATATCTGCACACTAACCATTAATGATACTATATTTTCCATTAACCACCCTGAGTTCCTCCACAGGACTACAGGCTCAATGTATTTCTACGGCAGAAATGGAATGACCCCCGTCTGGCGTACAGCGAATACCCAGATGACTCCCTTGATCTGGATCCCTCCATGTTGGACTCTATCTGGAAACCTGATTTATTCTTTGCAAACGAGAAAGGAGCCAATTTCCACGAGGTCACCACTGATAACAAGCTGCTAAGGATTTTCCAAGATGGCAGCGTTCTGTACAGCATCAGGTAATTAAGATAGTATTTACAACATTAAATTTAGCTATTCTCTCAGATTTGAGGTTTGATATTTTGAACATGAAAGAGGGGACATACTGTAATACACATACAACGGATGTGATTGTTATATGAGAGGTCAATAAGGGCATATTTCTGCCCAAGTAAAGAGAGTGTAGAATACAACCAGGGCTGATCACACAGAGTAGATAGTAAGGTAATTCTAACATACATGAACTCTTAACATAATTGCAGCAGAAAGCTGAATTGCCAATCACAACACCCTACCACTGCCTATAGTGCCACAGCAGGTGACTAAAATATTGAAAGAGTGCAGAGTCTGGGGAGGATACACACCGATTTCTTATGGCAAGTGTTTAACTTCAAAGTCTACTTCATCAATGAGAGTGTACCAGTTGAGAAGTTAGCAGGAGGCCTTTTAATGTCTACTTAGTTGGACAAATTGTATTAAGTCCCATTTGCATGTGCCACAGATTGGCATTTGGACCCTCCATTGATTCATTATTAAATTGTACACACACTGACAATTGACTAGATTGACTAGAAGATTTTTTTAAAATAGTTAAGTCAACACATTGTTTTAGCTTCTCTCTTTGGCTCTTTTCTAAAGATTTACAAAAGAAATGTCAATAGATTTTTTATTTTAATTGGATTTAGTTATTTTTCAGCATTAGCCTACTAGATAGCTTCAACAACTGTGAGAAAAGTGAAAGACATCCAACAAAAATCGTCTTTTGTACTCTGACTCAGTTTTGCAAATACAGTTTATCACGGCCCCCCTCCTGCTGATTTTCCTGAATCCTTTGGATTTGCTTATTAGCTTACTAAATATCTTTTGTAATTATGGATCAAACATCTCTGAGTGCTCTAAAGACATGACATAATTTGTCAGTGTTTGCAGAGTCAATCACTTGGGTATTTGTAGTTTGTTCTTCAGCTGTTGAAAAAGATACTGTGTCATCATAACACAATGGCAAATGGGTGCCTGTGTGTGTACTGCAGGCGTTCTGTGTGTGTAATTAACTGCTGTAATGCATCGCCCAGAGGCGAGACAGAGTCCCAAATAGCTTTCCTCTCTTTCTCTTCTTTGAGGGTTCTTGAAGGCTTAATGCATCAACACCACAACAAATAAAAGTAGGGAGCCCTAACCCAATTAATTTCCAATTACTGTGGTGCATCAAGTCATGAAATGGCAGAGTAGCTAAATCAATAAGCTTTCCAATTTACTGTTTTTATAGGAAAATCTGTTCTGTTTTTTTTATTTACTCTATTATGTTGCATTGGCCTTCAGTATAAAAAGGGAAAAACGAAGTTGCTTGGCACTGATGTATTTCACTGCTCTTTCATCTCTTAACCTATATTATTTCTACTTCTGTGTTAGCACCTTCTCCCTGAGCCTTTTCATGCCTTATTGCTTCTCTTCCAATCTTATTTTCTCTCTCAGGCTGACTCTTGTCCTGTCCTGCCCTATGGACTTGAAGAATTTCCCCATGGACATTCAGACCTGTACCATGCAGCTTGAAAGCTGTGAGTCTTTTGTTCCTCCCCCTTTTTGTCTCTCTGTCCCCTTTTTATCTCCCTCTGCTTTGTGATGTTCTACCTTTTTCCTGGCTTGTTAAGTATCTAACCGTAACTTAGCAAAAGCCAAACTGTTTGGTCTTACAGAAAAAAATACTAACAACATTGCTTTGGTGCTTATACAGGAATTCAACAAATGTAGTGCCATCAAAATGTAAAGAATGCAACTCAACTTTAACTTTATTTGTACCCGAAGGGCGATTCATTTTACGGCAAGAAGTAACAGGTCAGGAAAATGTTGCAGTTCCACGTTGGCGTCACTTTTCAACACCAGAGGTTTCTGCCTGGTCAGAGCGTATGCTAACGTTTCTGGCTCCTAAAACAAGGCAACTTTTCATTGTGAATTGTATCATTCAACCCCGTTTAACAAAGCTCAAATTTTAAGCTGTTCACATCAAGTGCATCCAAAAGGGTTTTAAACAATACACAAAGCTTGTATTAGCCTACAACTGCCGGACACAATAAACACTTAAGGGGTATGCTGCAGATGGGAACCCTTACCTTATCCATCAGTGTCTGAAATCATTACCAATTTTCTTGGAAACCATTAATTACTATGAATAGTGCATGGGAAAAATGCAGATTTAGTTTGTTGTCAACTTCAAGATGAGCTTTGTTGCGATCACAAAGTGGTGATGAGGCAAAGCAAACAGAAAATTGCTTACCATCCCCTTCTTGTTCATGTTGACTTAATCTTTTTTTTTTTGCAAAAAATGTAAAAAAATATCTTTTTTAACCTTTTAAATAACCCTGATGAACTGGTAAGAGAAGAGTTCAACTCTCCCTTTTTCTTACCTAGCCCCAAGCAGGGATCAGATCTGCCCTCATGAAACCAATTTCCAGGATATAAATAATAAAACTTTAATTTTGTGTCTCTTTTATTATACGTGACCCACTCCCTGCGCCTTGAGGTGACCTAATTTCCCATCATCAGGACAAAATGATTCAAGTCCAGCAAAAGGGAGAAAACATAAAGAATATGGTCACTGCACATTTTAAGAAGCTTTTTGCAAATAAATAAGTGAAGCTGAATGCTGGTATCTCTACCTTTGCTTTTATCTGATTTAATAAGAACAGGAGGCATTGTTTTGTATGGAACTAGTTACTCCTTTTACAGGAGCCAGAATGATTTATTTCTGCAAATTGACCCAGGGACAAACAGATAAAAAATCCAATAAATTTAGTGTACAGGGGAGCCATGCAGCACAAAAAAAAAAAAAAAAAGATTAAAGACATTTTACCTTTTAGGAGTGTACGGGGAGACAAATATGTGTTTGAAGCAGCAATGTGTGTGATTCTGTTTTTAAGTGTATAACATCACAGTGCCAATAAATGAGACGTAATCATTTCTGATTAAAGGCCTAGTGAGGATACTTGGCCTTGTGTTGACAAGTGCTAGGACACCACCCCAAGGGTGTGATCACCTTGGCTAGTGTTCAATGTGAAGGAGGACTTCATAGGTTTTACTGCCACAGCTGGAGCTGTAGAAAGACCGTCTGTTCAGTGTGAAAAGGCAAGTGGTGGAGAAAAGGAGTTATGGTTTGGGTTTGAGAAAGCCAAGGCCAATCGTCTTTTCAGGCTTATATAGATATATATATAAAAATAGAACACACCACAAGGATTCTGCCTCATTCAGACACATCAAAGCTCCGTATATGCAGCTTATACTACTCCGCTTTGCCTTGAGCCAATAGTGTCCAGTAGCCTCAAATCTGTAAGTGAAAAGCATGAAAGCAAATCGGAAGCAAAACCCTAGCCGAATTAAGATAGTGGCTTTCATTAAGTGGACTGCTTTTTGACATTTACTCTCATTACTGTACTCTTCTAGGATATTCCACACAATCTGCCGCATGAAATTCCTTTTTTTTAAATTCCACCTTTGTCAATTATGGTTTAACACCTCTAAGCTGTAGCCGGCGGAAGAAAAGAAGGCCGCCTTTATTTCTTTCAGGGAAGCATTGGTATTCCCCGCACTTGTCACAGCAGGATGTGCGAATGACAGTGAATTCTCCTCATGAACAAGATAAGTGTATTTTAGCGGTGTTGTTTTTTCAGCCCTGTGGTGCGGGATAGGGTATAACATCTTGAATAATTGATGTCTTTGTAACACAGGCCCTAAAGGGTCCCAGTAGACGTCAGTGTTATTCAGCTGCGGGAGGATTCCTGCTTTCTTGTTGCATGTGGCATGCATATTTAATTTACTTCTAATCAGGTGGATGTGTCAAGGAGTGCAAGCCTCAAAAGGGCAGCAACATCAATTGTGTGTTCATGCAAAAATAGTGATGGACTTGCAAAAATACGAATAGATTCCATTGTTTCAGTATGTTTATTACGATTTATGTATAATATTGTGGAAACCCCGATCAGCTTAATGTATATTCGGACATTTTTAGTCTCCCTTGGTCGTAGACAGATATACTCCTCGCGTCCCCCATTCTTGTGTAACCTTCAAAAAAAAAAAAAAATCCCCACAACATGACTGTAGCTGTGTTGGGTGACCTTTACTGTGACAAACATGAAGGCAGAGGGAAGCTTGTAGCTGAACAGATGGGCAAAAGCTGCATTATACGAGCAAAGTCTTCCAAGTTTCCTTCTCTTCCTCTCTCCGAGTCTCATTAGCCAAGGCTCTTGATGTTTCCTATGCATAGATTGTATACCATGTTAACAACAGTCTAGTTAAGAGTGGACAAGAAGGAAAGGTTAGGAAGGAAGTGAGGTGGGGTGAGAATCAAAAGAGAGTGACCAGAATATTTCACAGCTAGCGCAGTGTTTAAACGTAGTCTGATGTATGAACTGAACCGCATGCCTCGTTTTAAAGTTCACCTTTTTTGTGAAATTTACTGAAAGACAGACTAGACATAAAAGATCAAAAGATCAGCACTACACCCTTTCAGCCAGTCAATATTTATTTTGTTAATGTGAAACAGCAAAAGGTCTTACTTGATGACGTAAGATGTATCATCTTACCACGTTATGCCAGATCAAGTCTTAATTTATGAGTACAATGCATGGAAAGTAGTGAGGAGAAGAGCCATTATTATTTATGCTCTATTCTATTCATTATAATCTTAGATGAAAGGGACACAAGAAGACACATTTCTTTCATATTTCCACCATGTATTTTCTCACCCCTTTACTTTCTCTGATCTCTTTTCACAGTCGGTTACACCATGAATGACTTGATCTTTGAATGGCTGTCTGAGAATCCTGTTCAGGTGGCAGATGATCTCACCCTTCCCCAATTTGTGCTAAAAGAGGAGATGGATCTGGGCTACTGCACTAAGTATTACAACACAGGTACAAATTAAAGTCTATTAAGGTGTCGGGAAACCAGCGACCACATGCTTAAACCCAAAATGTAATTGAGTTATTCAGCTGATTTCTAAATGGGGGGTTAAGATAAAACTTCAGTATGATTACAATAACAGTTGCTTTAACTAAAATGTCACAATACCACAACTGAATCCTATATCGTCAACATTACAACTTTATTTAGATCCTCTATTCCCACTGTGTAATTAAACAAAAACAATATTTTAAAGTAAATGTGCCATATGTCTGCAGGTAAATTCACCTGCATTGAGGTGAAGTTCCACCTGGAACGTCAAATGGGCTACTACCTAATCCAGATGTACATCCCCTCCCTCCTCATTGTCATCCTCTCCTGGGTGTCTTTCTGGATAAACATGGATGCTGCACCAGCCAGAGTGGGTCTGGGCATTACCACAGTGCTCACGATGACCACACAGAGCTCTGGTTCAAGAGCCTCACTGCCCAAGGTGGGTTTGGTTACGAGTTACCTGGCTGCTAAAAGCTAAAACTGGGGACTTTAAAATAAAAACTTACAATTATAAAATAGTAAGTGATCCTATTCATTTTAGAGGTAAATAAACATGCCTTAGGACAAACCATATAGTTGTCTATGCCCAACAAGCAAGCACACTTGAGAAGTAAAAGCATTACATACATAATAACAAAACAAAAGAATTACACAATGCTATCAACAAAATGTCAGACTTAAAAGAAAAATCTAACAAACAGATATCCCTCAAAAGGTGATCCTAGATAGGGACATTCTGAAAAGGTTGAGACTAATTCTATACTCAATGGATATATATTACTGAGGAGTGAAAAAAAGTACATGTTTGTCTTCCACAGATGGATTGAAGAGGCATTTGAAGGAGGTTTCAGAATGGGATGACCTATTACAGCATATTTGGTCATGAAATGCTGACTTTGCATGCTGTACATCCTGGTTTAGGACAGAGACTCACATGGGAGCAGACATTAGAAGGCCAGGTGAGGTGAGGGCACTGTGCTCTGGCATGTGAAAGGCATACAGGGCGGGGCAGGAGAGAAGGTTAGAGAGACAGGCTGCGTTATACTGACACTACTGTAAATACATTTTTAATGGAAACCTGCCAGCCAATCAGAAAGAGTGTTTTATAATGCCACAGTTCCAGCCAACGTTCTGAATGAGTGCACAAGTTGTATGAGATTGCTGGTAACCATAGCAACAGCACTCCGGGCTGCTTCTACACCACCAGTTAACGCTTACAATGGTTGTAGAGTTTGACTGCATTTCCTATGCATATTGACCCTAAGGATTTTTTTTTTAAGATCATCAGACTCCCTGTCCACACAGACACACATTTACAAGAAGCTGCCAAGAACAATTACAGTCTTGTCTATCAGCCACTGAGCAGCAAATAGGCACTTCAGTGGTGATATTGAAACTCAGGGAACACTTCTCTTTCAATTTCCCAAACCAGTGTAAACAAAGCCAACAACCCCTCAAAAAGAAAACATATCTTTGAGAAAAGCCAATCACAGGTTTGTGTTGTAGTTTGAAGGTTAGCTTTTCCTTCTTAGATTTCCTGAAGACTTTTTAATTTCAATGATTTTTGGAGACCAAGAGATACAAAAAAAAAAGTCATACACCAAGTAAGGATATCAGCATGTACAGTTTCAGTTTTAGCCAGTGTCCTATTGAAATCAACTTTCAAGGGCCAATATCTTGAACAAGTTGATTAAAAATATTTGGCCAATGCCAATGAAACAAACAGATTTATATTCTGAAAAAAGAAAGAAAAGATATATTCTCACACTAGCCGGATATGGCCAATATGCATTGGTTTTGTCACGAAGCCATGATGACGATAGTGTTTTGTCTTTTTTACTTTGTCAAAGCAGTATGGCTTAAAGAGGCAATATGTAATTCTGACACATAGGGTTTAAACCTGGTACTGCAGTCCAAATTCAAAACACTGGAAAGGGCTCTCTCTCCCCTTGCCCCCCTCCTTCCTAAAGTCGATGTGCGGACACTGAAGCTTCAATGTTTCACCAGCTCTGCATTGATCTTGAAAGCTTTCTGTGTTCTAACCTCTCCATTTTTCAAAAGTATCTCCAATATTTATCCTAGTTTTACCACATTTATGGTCTGTAGATATCTTACACACTCCTTTAAATTGTAGTGAATCCACTTTGTTTCTTGTGCATCGCATTTTAAATCAAAATATAGGCCTTTGCTTCTCCAGTGGCATTGTATAGTAGACCTACCCAAGTGCAAAAAGTAGCATTACAGTGACAATAAGTGAAAAAAACTACACGCCTGTTTACATTTTACAATGCTTGAACTTTAATGGTATCCACAAATGATCAAACAACCATGATGGGAGGAGATATTTAATAAAAGTTCAGCTGAAGTAACTTTCATCATTATTATAAAAAAAAAACTAAGCCAGCGGGTGTTAAATGGCATGTCAACACACTAATATGTGTGATGGATGGAGTAGAAACAGTCATGCAGTGAAGCTGCTTAGTATATATTTACATTTTTTAGCCATTCTAGCCTTTATTGGACAGCTGAAGAGAGACAGGAATTACTAGGAGGAGAGAATGAGGGTTGGCATGCAGTAAAGGGCCCGGGGTGAATTCGAACCCATGACTGCTGCGACAAGGACTTCAGATTTTGCACATAGGGCGCGCCTCTTAGCCGCTATCAAGCGCCCCCGTGAAGCATTAAAACATGGCCAAGGTGTTGTCAGGAAGTAATAGATTGTACCCTACTCATATGTCATTTCCTGTTTTCCCCTGACTTTGTTGCATGCGTCTGTAACAGTCTGCAAACTGCTGCTAAATTGAGTAAAGTTTCCACACAAAGCTTGCTCAGGGGGCGTTGCTGATTTGTTGTGACATATCGTCGCTTCATGAACGACCCAGGCAGAGCAGTGACCTGTCTTTAAGCTATGTGTCAACAGCCCACAACCCTCTGACTCATTCAAATTCATCCTAAAGAAGTGTGTCATTACATGCCACGGCTGAGCAATGTGTAGATCGTACACAACCCCCGGATTATACATTATCCTTATCGATTGGCTGTCAATGACACCTTGGCCCTGTCTTTTTTTTTTTTTTCCACCCAGGTGTCTTATGTGAAGGCCATTGACATTTGGATGGCGGTGTGCCTTCTCTTTGTGTTTGCCGCCCTGCTGGAGTACGCTGCCGTTAACTTTGTCTCAAGGCAACACAAGGAGTTCATCAGGCTGAGGAAAAAGCAGCGGCAGCAAAGAATAGTAAGTGTATATCACACACAGCCATATACCACACTGACACACATTGTATTAGGTCCTTAAAAGAACAAACAAGAAGCACACGCACACACACACTCCAGTACCTGTCAGCCTCTATAACATTGACTTATGCCTCTTGTTATTGTGGCATGCTGTATATTTAGGAACTGACAACATCAACACGCTACAGCTGGCTGTCATATAACATGAGGAAGATCTACTCATTTCAGTTCAGCTAGTACCCTGTGAGGAGCCTTTGTGATCTTTTCCCCCTGTCACTGCATATCATACACAGCTACAGCCTAGGACTTACAACCCTGTGGCAGCAGGATACGCTAACCCTGCACTCAAACTGCAATGTTAATTCAGGGCTGTATTTTCATCTGCTCAAGTTAAGATCTTGATCACTTGATTATTTTTTTGTGTGTTGCAGTAAATAGTCATGACTATATAGGCACACGCTTACAGGGAAACAAATACCATTATGAGTATGAAAGCTCCTGTTAGAGTTTTTAAGCTCATAATGACACAGACTGTATTCATTTCAAACCGGACTATCAGAGAGAAGATAGCGATCTACTGCATGCTTCTTAAAGTTCCTTTTTTAACGCATGCTAAAGACTTATTTGGAGAATAGACATTTAAATTTGAAAGGATACGATTTTTTGGTCAGAAAACACTAGACGAGTGCACATAACAAGATCAGAAAAAGAGATAATCATCCAGCTTTGTCAACAGGGGTCTCCATACTCCACACAACCTAAAAGTTTTTAGGTCTCAGGGCGCACTCACAACAGACCCTGTCGTCCTGAACCGTGCTTAAGCATGAGGTCTCTATGCACACGTAAGCCTCTGCACATGCCAATAGAGTTCAATTTCCTCGTTTTTCAATAGTTCAAACAAAGTTCACCATTTATTTTGTCCAGCTTCTTACTCAAACGTTTTCGTCTTTTGCCTCTGCCATGATGTCTGTACTAAGAATACTACGCTGAAATCAGTAACCAGATAAGTTTGCATCCATGTCCCTCTGCCAGAAAGCCTCATTAAGCTGTGTAAGCGTTACATATTTCTCACAGGACATCATATCCGTACAACTAAAGTTACATAAGGAAAGAGCAGGTGTTCAGGGTGCAGAGAGGGAACGAAAGAGGCACCAGTCTAAACGCTACATGTCATCACCATCAAGTTTTAATCGCTCAAATTCTCCGCTTTAATGCTTCACCAGCATTGTGTGAACTTGGTTCACCCAGATATTATGGACAGTGGCCTGGTAACGCATTCAAATAATGTCATTGCCGTTATCAAATTTAACTCCAAAATCCTGTGCAAAATCTTTAGTAGTGCATGACATTCCCTTTTTTCCACTTCAGACCCGCCAACTTCAAACCAGTGAGCCAAAACCTAAGCTGCAAATTAGGCAGATATTTAAGTGCCCATCACCTCCACTGTTACCCTAAAGTCCATCAGTGATGTCACCCTTTTAATCCAGTGCCCTCCGTTCTCTCGCACACACACACAACCGCTATCAAATACTACTACACTGCTCTTGCAATAAATGTTGTTATTTCATTGAGCACTTTCACTAAAATTCCCTTTTTCTTGTCTTACTGAAACCAATATTTGATGCACGTAATGTTACTTACTTCATGGAAGATGTGCTGACATCATTTCTAAATCTAGAAGGGGTTCCTATTATTTCTTTATGATGATTGATTGAGATTAGTCCGTGACACCTGAAAGTTGCTTGAGCCGATAGTCTATAATATTTTCATCCAGGCTATCCATACTGTTATTTTGCCATGTAGCGTCACGTTTCACAGTCCTGGAATGTTTCCTCTTTAAAGAGCTGTTTCTTTGATCCAAATTGAGGGTCTAATTATAGAGGTTGTTGTATGCTTTACAGACTGTAAATCCTCTTCAGGGAACTATTTGGTATCAGGCTGACATGACATATGAAAGCCTCAAAAATTACACCTTTTCAAAAACATATTCCAATGTCTGTTTGTTTTTGTCTTGGGATCATTTGTCTTCTGATGACCCAGTTCTTGTATCAAGGGATGCAGCATGTAGGGTAACAAATAATAGGCTTCACAGAGAGGTGAGAGACCTTTTGTGACACAGAGAGGTTTGTCTTGAGAGACGCAGTCAGGACATCTTGAAAATCCCATTAAACAGCTCACTGAGTGTGCAGCAGACTCATGGCATAGTTCCCTGTGAAGGCAGAAGAGTACAGCCGAATTACTGGGCAGTCTGCCCTCCTGCATCGATACAGGAGAGAGAAAATCATGGTCTGTGGAGGAAAGGACTTCCCTTGTGCACATCAGTTGCTTACTCCCACTATGGTGTTACAGATCACAAACTATCCATCGGAGGGGTATTGACCTGATGTGAGACTGGGAATCAGATGGAGTGTACAAATCCCAGACCGACCAATTCAATCAATACACTCCTCAAACTCTGCTGCTGTTAAGCCAAACCAAGTCCAGCAAGTACATCCAAACACCCTTCAAAAGTGAAAAGAGGAAGAAAAAAAAAAAGAAATACAGCTTCCATTTATAGTCTTTACAGAAATAACTCAAACTGGCACCTTGAGGATGCTTTATTCATCTTCAAAGCCAGCTCCCTAAACTAACCTCCGCAAGTAATGTCCTGTATTATCACACTTGCAGTGCCATTTTAATTAAATCGGAGAACGCCTGCTTGAGTTTGTTGTGTGAATTGGAAGTTTGCACTTTTAATGACTTGGCATGGTATAGGTAGGTTCTTCATTCAAATTAGGCAGGGATGACTCTTTCCCAGCAAAAAATGAAGGCACTTGTCCAAAACTTACCATAAATTCAACATTATTTTTTCTTTTAACTGCCAGGAAATAGGAAGCCAAACTCTTGTTAGAGGATGGAGATAAATAAAGTGAAATAACTCTTATTTTAACTTGTCTGCCTTCCTTTCCGATGGAGGTGTATGCCAGTCAGCCTGGGAGTGTTGAGTCGTTGCGGAAAGAGAATGACATCCACGATAACAACTCAACCTACAGGAATCTGAGTCAGCACTGCAGCGCCTGTGCTAGGGTAACAAAAAAAAAAAAAAATTGAACCCTGTGCAACCCTGACCTTTAAACCCAATTTCTGTCTTCCAACTTTCACTTCAAACTGGAATATTTCCTGGCAACTTTCCCGCAACTAAACCCACTTTGTGCTGATCATGTCCTGTCACCCTGTCTTTTTGACCTTCTGCCCTTTTAAACTAACATTTCTTTCTTGAAATGTTTGCCCTTTAAGCTTTTCCAGTGTGTTCATTTTGTTAAGGATGGTTTAAATTCAACATTCCTTCACCTCTCATGGTGCAGTGGTGCATTCGGCAGTGGTTAACTCTGTCAACTCACAGCAAGAAGGTTCCTAGTTTGAATCCCCCTCTGGCAGGGCCTTTCTGTGAAGAGTTTGCATGTTCTCCCCTTGTGCATGGGTTCCCTCCTGGTACTCGGTCTTTCTCCCACAGTTTAAAGACAAAAGACATAGTTGGTGGTTTTAAATTGCCCATAGGTGCAACTGTAAGTGTCCTTGGTTCTTTGTGTCTGTTATATAGTCTCACACAGGGCTGACATGGAGTCTAGATAATGGATGAAGGGATGTTCACTTCTTGTCAAACCTTTAAACCTCCTTTTCTACCCAACACCAAATATTGTTAACCTAAAAGGAGCAATTATTTTGTTACATTTTCTAAAGTCATCTGTCTAAAGTACAAACATTATTCTGTATCTTGGAAATGAACATGAATGCTTTCTCAACGAGTTAGATGAGAAGATCGACGTCAGGTACCGTGAATACAAAGCTACAACAAGCAGCTAGCCAGTTCGCTTTGGTTAACATTAAGAAAGAAATGAGGGACACAACTAATCAGGCTCTGTGAGAAAGTTAGTGTATCTGGCTAGCATCTACTCTAAAGGTCCAGATTAACAATGTATTTCTTGTTTGTTATATCTGTACAAAATCCAATGTGTAGAACTGAAATTTGAATAAAACCAGGCTAGCTGTTATCACCTATTTACAGTCTTAAACTTAAGCTAATCCCCCTCCTGGCTATAGTTTAATATTTGCACAACAGCTAAAAAAAAAAAAGTAGTAGGGCTATCAATAGTCTGAATTGCTAATAGCAAGAAAAAAATCTGAGATTGTCCCTATAAACACTCCCCATACAGTAACTGTACTCTCCACAGAGCATGATTGTGATAATGAGGACAGTCTCAACTGATATTATGCCAAAAATCACGAAGTGTTGCTACTGCTGAGAGCACAAACAATGAGCACCTATTATCTTTAGAGGAACGCACCATTAGCCTTTATCACATGATGTAATGTGTTGCTTAGGAAGGAGTGGGAGGGATAATTAAGCTGTGCTGCAAGAGCTACAATTCCAAAGCCCCGCTGTTGTTTGGAGCAATTTGTCATTTGGGAGGAAACTAGTTAGCAAACATAGTTATTCACAACAAGGCTGCTTTTAGACTTAAAATACTGTGCAGGACTAATCTGACAGTAGGTGGAGACGCGTTAAATATATCAGGTTACTGGACATCTGACAGAAGCTGGTAGCATCTTTCACTGCCAAGTCCAGCCAGCATCAAGATGCCAAGTCCGGCAGAGTACCAAAACCAGCTGTCAGGGTCAAAGAGAGAGAAACAGAGCTTTCAGGGCGTTTCACTTCGACTACTAATCATCCAATTTAGATCCCACATCTTCACTTCCCCCTGCTAAAGTGAATCTCTCAAAGTGTCAGAGCGGCTGTCAGACTTAAGCTGCATGTCTATTAATATTCTCTTCAGAGGGCGGAGACGATGTCTAATTCACTGTTAGAAAAAACAGTGCCAAGCCACCTCGCCATTCATCAAAGCATCATGCCAAGTGCAAGGATTTCTTTTTTGGGGTGCAGTTGAGATCATGACTTTTTTTATTTTTATTAATAGGCATTTTGAAAGGTCTGTCATTCTGCAACTTTAAAAAGAGCCCGAGAGGAGAGATGGAGGTTAATTATTTTGTTAAACTTCGTAATTATAAATTATTTTCTTCCCTCTAAAAGGTGATGCCCTCTGATCCCTTCTCTCTGTGTTAAAGAAATCTCAAATAGCCCAGCAGATTAAAAAAAAAAATAATAAGTAACAGTTTAGTGCCCATCATAGCATGAGGATTTTTTTAAATTATTTTAACAACACTAATTATTTACTCATGGTATCTGATTTTCAACTCAGAGGCTCTCCTGACTATTTTCTGCACAACAACAACAACATAGTTTGTTTTGGAAACCAATTGTTGCAATGTCATATCTTATTTGATATAGAAATACATTTTTAGATGAATATGTAAAGAAAGATACATTATCAAACAAACAAACACGCTTGTGTATTGCATTTGTTACACGTAACGGAGTAGAAATTCTAGGCCTAATTTAGCAAACAGGTCAACTTTCTTCTGATTTGTATCAAACATCGTACATTTTTAACATCTATAAGAGTTGTACAGGATTTTGGAAAGACTTTAAGAACAGTTGTTGAAGTTGTTGGATGAGCATTAAGTATATGCCTGTTTTACATTCCATCTGACAAATCATCCTCTGCATTAGAAAGCTTTATCCATCAATTCATATACTTAAAACTAAAGATCTGCTGGATGAAGCACTCTGCTGCCCTTTTGTGCCTCTACAACCCGATGCATTTGGGAATGAGCCACTGAGAGAAAATGTAAAAAGCTGTAAGTAATTCATGTTGTCAGCGAGAGGCCAATCTTTTTTCCCCTCTGCTTGACTCCACAGGAGGAGGAACTGGTGAGGGAGAGCCGTGGCTTTTACTTCCGAGGTTATGGACTCGGTCACTGCCTGCAGACCAAGGACGGTACCGCTGTGGAGGCGGCCACAGTGTTCACCGCTCCTCCTCCTCCCCCGCCTCCTCCGGTCACCGCGTACGACGGGGAGGTGCTCCACAAGCGCTTTGTGGACCGGGCTAAACGCATTGACACCATTTCCAGAGCCGTGTTTCCCCTGAGCTTCCTCATATTCAACATCTTCTACTGGATCACCTACAAAGTGCTGCGACACGAGGACATCCACGCCAATTTGTAAAAAGCTCTCTGCTACATTTTAAGGGTTTTTTTCTTCTCAGAACCGTAACTGCCTGTCAGAGCTACATAACAGTGAAGAAATGTGTTAAGAGGCTTTATCTGCTTCGAAAAACAACTGCTAAAAACGTTGTGCTCAGGTGCGTCTTCAGGATCTCAGATGAGGAGCGATTAATGAGAAAGCCCAGTTAAGCTGCCTGGATTCAGGCTGGTGTTGTTTGTTCATTTCTGTCCTAGTTTTTTTGATTCAAGTGGATTACAACAGAGACAAAAACACGGATAGTTCTTTGTGGGTTCATGACTTTTGTTTGAGAGTTCAGAGGAGTTGGCGTTGATCCTGGCTGGATGACATTTACTGACTTGAATTTTGACACAAAGCATCTTTGAATGAATGTTTTTGAAAATTTAAAAGATAATGGGTTTTTTACACCTTTAGATTATTAACGGGATATAAATAGGTGCAAGGGGGGGGGGAGGACTGGGTCTTTGATATTTATTCATATTTAACAAGTGGTGATAACTCAATTTAGATTATATATATATAACAGTGTATAAAGTGTACATAAACAAAGCGCTTCATTAAACTGCACAAAGCACAAATATGTATTTCCTTTGTCTACATTTAAATAAATTGTTATTCTGCCAGGAAACCTGAAGTGAATCGCTCCTCTTTAAGCTTAAGTTTTTCTTGAGTGCTTTAAAAAAAAAAAAAAAAAAAAAAAAAAAAGAAGGATGCAGTACAGAAATGTTTTTCCAGATGAAAAATAAATTCAGTCACAGAGTAACCGATTGCACAGCTACTTTTCTATTTCAGCCCTTTAATAGCCTCCATCACATCCAAATCCCACCAGATCAGGGGAGAGGGCCTAAACTGAATGTGGATATCAAATGCAACAATAAAGCAAATTGAAAATGCTGCAGATGCAAAATAAGTAATCAGTTCACATCAGTGGCTCTCGAACTTCGTATTGCTTTTCAGGAGTCTCATCATTAGCTGTAAAACAATACACTTGCATAATACATCTTGGAGTAATCAGGACAAAGTTGTTGAGAAAATTGCATAAGAGCTGATATTTCTTCCCCAGAGTGGCTTTAAAGGAAGGTGTGGTAATGCAGGGCTGCAGTGGAGGGGGGCAGTGGAGTGGACAAAGGAGGGGGGGGGGGCAGTCAGCGAGGAGGACGAATGGGTTTTTTTTTTTTTTTTTTTTAAATGGGAAATCAGAGGGTTGTTTTATCAACTAATGAGTTTGAAAAGGGCTTGGTGTTCCACTGCTAATGACAATGAAATTCAGAGAGGCGGCTGTAGCCAACTGTCCTTTTGTCTGCAATCCTAATCAACTCCTCTGTATTGTACAGTTCCCCAGGTAATGAAAAAGTGTGCTTGTGTGCGTGTGTGCTCAAAGGGAGTGTGCGTTTTCATGCACGCCTATGTTTCTTTTTTATCCTCTCTGTGGTTTATATTGATTTAGATTATTATTATTATTTTTTTTTTTTTAAACGTATCCACTGGTCCGTATTATTGTTCAAAATCAACGACCTCTGAACTGTTGCAGTATAGAAGTGTACGGTACACACACCTTGACAACATAAATAAAGACAAACAAGAGGAGTTGGCTTTATCTACAGGGAGCCGATGATTTGCCAAGTACGGACAGAGTGGCTTGACAAATTCGCTGAAGTCCTTCTGACAGCTTAAGAAGATTTAGAAAGCAGAGTGTGTAGCCATGCAGATGTCAAAAAAGACAAGCTGTTTGTCTCTGGCTTTACTTTTCCCATCAGACAAACTGTTTTCCAAAAACATTCAACTCCAAATAGGCTGGTCAAATAAGTACACATTTTAGGTTAACATAAAACACACAAAAACACTTGAATGCAAATGTCATTAATAATGGTATTTAGAAGTGGGTGGAGCGTCACCATCAGGTCAGACTCTTAAAACAGAACTTCGAGAGTATCTAACTGCTGTGTCGTTTCTATATGTATTTTCTACTGAAACTGAATAGAACCAATCACAAGATAGAAGGCGGGACATAACATTGTGATGAATTTGATTGGATTGCTAGCTTTCTAATTGGTTTAAAATTAGTAAACGGCCCTTAGTGCAGGATGAGTCATCAGACATCAACCAGTTTAAACCAATAAATTCAGTTTGAAAATGTCGACAAAATAGTCTTATTTTATGATCCAAAACAGCATTTATTTTATTGTTATTTCTTACAATTAAAAAATTAAGGTGCTGCAAATAACAATAATTGACTTACCAGACCCAAAAAATAAGCCTGAACTAATATTTTATATTTTTATTAATAGTATTGTTTCATTCATGAAGACTAAAGCAGCATATCTGTAATATTTCAAGTACACAGGGATCTGATTGAAACCCATTACATAGTATATTCAGATGGTGAACCAGCGTCACATGACAACTTCCACCACACACAAAAATCCATACTAGGTGGTAACTTTTTAAGAAATACCCCCTTAACTCTAACCTGTTTGCTTACACAAGGAACCAAAAATATAACCACAGTTTTAGAAATGTTGCATCAGAATATCCCCCAGTAAGGATGGATTTATTTCACCACAGACTTTGATGCTTTATTTGTCAAGCTGCTCATTTAAAAGACATCCTTTAACAAATGTTGTTTTCATGAGTCACACATGCACATTTTAATCATCAGGTTGTGTACAAATGAACATACAATACAAAGGGGAAAGAAAAGAATGCATGTTTGATAGGTGCTGGTCATCATGGCCTCAGCGTGCCCTTGCTGTCTCCCTTGGGGGGAATCAACATGCTCTCCCCCCCCGTTTTAGCTGAATGTCAATGGTGCCACGGCTAAAACTGATGTGTGAGCGTTGAGAAAGCAGCCAAAGACTTGCAATCAATACTGCTGTCCCTTAGAGCGCCAACATCTTACCTTTTCACACACATAAAAACAGAAACATAAATGAAGACACAAAAAGAATACTCAGGGTTTAAACTTTTATTTGCCTAAAACCAAAACAATAGGCACATCTGTAATATAAGAATTGTACCTGTTTTTTCTATTTTTAGAATTACATTTTTTTTTTTTTTTTAAGATACAAAAATTTAAAATGTGCCTGCATCCCTAGGAGCTGTAATCTGGTAGATGCCTGGTGGAATAAGAAATAGCAGCCCAGGGGGATCTATTGGTTTCTTTTGACAGTGATGTATTAATGAGACCACGCTACACATGTCACCTTTAAATATATGGTTGTAAACACAGTAAAGCGTTTGCTCCTCAAACCATTATGGATGCAAACCTTGTGAATGTCACCCAGCATGTGGAAATAGATATCCTTGTTGTGTAAATACACTTCCCCCCCCCCTACAAGACCACTTGGGATTCCAGGACTGTGTGGGTGGTTTAAAGGTTTGATGCAATTTATGTCTATCCAGTGCTGAATGATCTCATTTGGTAATTCTGAGCACGGATGAACTATTCTCCATGTGTTGGTTTGGTTTCTCGTGTGTTTTACTGCATCAGAACTGCAAAATCATTTTTATTTATAAGTTTGCTCATCAAAAAACATAATTAAAAAAAGTTGCTTCTGCAGGGGGACGCGGGATGCCAAAATTCCCTCTCAACCCTCAAGGCTAGGATTAAAAGAGATAGTGAAGTGGAATATTTAATATTCATCACAAAATGTTAAGGACAGATGTTCAGGTCAATAACTAAATAAAAGTGACTCATTAATAGAGTCCAGCAGTCTATGTATTAACACCTGCAGCATGTGAATTGGATTAAACCTTCATCTCAAAATGTTGGCAGCTAAACATTTTTGTTTTTAAAATATAAAGAATTCACTTCGTCAATTTACCACCAAGAGAAGTGAAGCTTGTATTTTTGTACCTTGTCTGACAGCAGGTATTGGTACATTCCTTTTAATTTGACATTTTCCAATCCTAATCTCAGTACACCAGCCATATGGGTCTTCAATAATCCAACCTAGATTTAGCCAGAAAGGTGACTGAGAGTTTAAGACACGATTCCTTAATTACAATCTGGATTAGAAGGTACTCTTCCATTAAATCTGACACTAAACCAATCCCTGTGAAAGCTCGATAAACTAAATGCTCACTTAAATGCCTTTAAAATGGAGACAAAAACTCTTCAACCTCTTCACATTGGGCCACAAATCTCAAGGTTAGTGCCTGAGAAACCTCAAGTCATGGATGGTGCCTTAAGGTCCTGCTCAGGCATTATTCAAACAACATGCATACTTAACTGCTGCATACTGTGAGAAAGGTGCAGTGATGCTTTATGTTAAAATGCTAAAGACAAAACTATTGCTTCTGTTCTCCTTACAGCTAAATTGTTGAATCAGATGCTCTCTGTTAAACTCAGCTTTGTTGACACTTTTTACACTTCCAACAGACAACCTTTAGCACCAACTTTATAGCCAATGTAAAGGCAGATGTAAGGAAACGTGATGCTGAGAAGAGTTGACAAGTAGTTCTCTGTCCACCCTCTTTCCATGAGTCAAGAAGGTTGATGCGACACTCCTCAGACAAGGTCAGATAGGCTCCGAGGCTGTTTAACCTATAATGTTTTTATAACTTGACTCATATACAAGTCCGAGAACCTTCATGTTTTTTTTCCCCCTTTGCGTCCCATTTGAATAATGCAATAGGAAAACATGCATCTTCAAAAGGACATGCTTTCAAGAAAACAGCAGAGAAAACCTACTCTTCAAGCATCTCTGGAAAACTCCTTATATGTACTTAGAAAATCCTGTGGATTCATTTCCACTAATCCCTTGCTTCTACATTTCTGTAATTCCAACATCTGAACGAAGCCCTACAGCTGGGAAGACTGCAGTACAGGGGTTGCAAGTGGATACTGGTTATAGACACGTGTGTGCACTGTGTTTCTTTTGTGTGTAAACAGGCGAACAAGGAATTAGTCCCTACACAATCCCTCTGTAGAGAGAGTATGGCAGCAGTTGGAATTATGTCAAACCTCTGTTTCTAAATGTTGTTGCCTTGGAAGATGTTCAGAATTTCTTCAGGAGTGCTGAAGCTTCAAAACTGAATTACTTTTGACATCAACTTTAAGACGCCATAACATTTGTAAGGGATCCCTTTAAGAGCAATTTTATGCATGCAAAGTCAGCAGCACTAAAAGGAAGTAAATATGTATTTATGGGACTAAGCATAGCAAGAGCAATTATATTTTAGTAGATAAATGCAGTAATTATATTTTAAACAAACTTGATGTTTCAGTATAAAAGTCAAGCATATTCACATAGTGGCAAAATGTTTAAAAAGCAGTGGTAAATGGTAAATGGACTTGAGGTTGTATATCGCTCTACTAGTCTTCTGACTACTCAAAGTGCTTTTACACCACACCAACTCATTCACACACTGGAGTATAGAGTCTATGTAAAGCGACCATCATTAACAAACCCATTCATACGCCGCCGACGAAGCAGTGGGAGCAACTTTAGGTTAAGTGACTTACCCAAGGAAACATGAAACCTGGCCATCAAACACAGGAGCTGGGGATCAAACCCCCAACCATCCAGTTGAGAGACGGCTCAGTCTACCACTGGACCACAGCCGCCGTGGAGAATGTACACTTTCAAAGAACACAAACATTTATTACA